CTTCGCTAAACCCAACCACACTGCATAACCCTTCCTCTTCGTACCGCAACACCTCGCATAACCAAACCACATGGCTGCCGTTACAGACCACTCCCCCCTCTAAGGCCTATCTCCTGGTAGGCTTAGGCTTCCGTGGATATCGTTCGTGAAATCGTTTGACAATATCGGGCGAATGTTCGACATCCGACAATGGCTGCCACGAAGCTTCGTCATAACCGGCATACTTAACCAAGTATTCAAATCTTCCCCGACGATCCCTGGAATCCAAAATATCCTCGACTTCCCACTCCTCCTGTCCTTCAACTTCGACCGGCGGTGGTGGTAACTGTTGTTGTCCTGGTAAAGGATCGTTTGCTGCAGACGACAATAAAGAGACATGAAATACGGGATGAACTTTCATAGAACGAGGAAGTTCCAACTCATAGGCATAAGGACTAACGATCCGTTTCACGACATACGGTCCAATGCGTTTCCAATCGAGTTTCTTCGATGGTCGTTTGGTGAGGACATGGCTCGTTGATAAGAAAACTTTATCCCCCACACGATAGTGAGGTGCTGGAGTCCGACGTATATTGGCGGACTCTTCTTGAATCCTTTGCGCTCGAAATAATTCATCCTTTAAAAAATCCAATATATCCTTCATCTCTCTTGCAATACTATTGGCCTGATCCTCCGCTGTCGTTCTACCATGTTCCAAAGGACCAAAAGTCATTCTTGGATTCCTCCCTGAGTTGGCGTAAAATGGAGAGATTCTCGTCGTTTCAGAAGCATGGTTATTTGTTGCAAACTCGGCCATTGGCAACCATCGAACCCAGTCGTCCTGTTGATAAGAAACATAACTTCGAAGGTATTGTTCCATCACAGCATTGATTCTTTCCGTTTGTCCATCCGTCTGGGGGTGAAACGCTGTAGAGAACTTTGGCGATATTTCCAAACGATCGCAAAGGGACCTCCAAAATTCCGCAACAAATTGTGTTCCTCGATCAGATACCATAGTTTCAGGGAGTCCATGTAATTTCCAAACATTATCGATATATAGCCTCGCTACTTCCCTCGAGTCTGCCTCCTTAGTCGTTGGTATTAGATGTCGCATTTTGGTTAGTCTATCTACCACAACTAGAATCGCATTATACCCATTGCTTTCGGGGAGATCGGTGACAAAATCCATTGACACATCCGTCCACGGTCCCTCAGGTATTGGCATGGGACGGAGTACTCCATAAGGCGCATTACGTGGTGCCTTACTACGGGCACACACATTGCAATTCCTAACATACTGGTCGACATACTTTCGCATTTGTGGCCAGTAGTATTCTCGATTCAAAAGCTCTAGGGTCTTTGCTCTACCAGGATGTCCTGCTGATGGTTTATCATGGTGTTCTTTGAGAAGTTTTAGCCGAAGGTCGTTGACATCTGGTACATAGAGTGCGCCACGGTAAAGTAGCCGACCGTTGTTATCTTCCGTACATTCGGCAAGCGAGATCTTATTCGAGTGACGGACGCCATTCCGAAGCATCGCGAGTACTTTGTTCGGAAAACTGTCAACTTGGTAAGCATTTAAAAACAACTCTTCTACAGTGGACATTCCTTCAGCGGATTCATTTGAAAAAGAACCCGCGAACAAACTTAGCTTTAAATCCAAATTTTTTCGCTTCAAAACCACCTGGCTTTGATGCGTCAACCGTTCATCCCCCTCCTTAGGTAGGTCACCCGACCTCCTAGTCAATGCATCCGGCTTTGCCCCTTGTTTCCCTGGTCTAAATTGAATGACGAAATCGAAACGTGAAAGAAATTCCGACCAACGGGCTTGTCGACGGTTTAATAACTTTGTTGACATGAAATATTCAAGGTTCCGATGATCGCTCAAAACTTCAATTGGGAATTGTGCCCCCTCTAAATGATGTCGCCATTCCTCAAAACATCGTACGATCGCCAGGAGTTCTTTGTCATAGATCTCATAGTTACATTCCGCAGGGGAATGTTTCTTAGAGAAGAAAGCGACTGGATGTAGAATTCCTTCGTCGTCACGTTGGGACAGGATTCCAGCAGAAACATAGTCGGATGCATCGGTTTCTACCACGATTTTCCGATCCGGATCAAAATGCATTAGTATGGGTGCCGTTATAAACATCTTCTTCAATATCTGGAATGCCTCCTCCCTCTCATCCGTCCATTCAAATTTAATATTTTTCTTGGTCAAAGCCGTAAGCGGAGCAACAATTCTTGAATATCCTAAAATAAACCGTCGATAGAAATTCGCAAATCCCAAAAATACTTGAACATCATGAAGGTTCCTTGGTGTAGACCACTCCAAAACATCGACAACTTTCTTCGGATCCATTCGATTCCCATCCGGGGTGAGAATCAAACCAAGATACTTTGTTTCTTGAACCATAAACTCACACTTCTCAGGTTTAAGATGGACATGATTCTCATCAAGTACCTTCAAAACCTTTTGAATGTGTTCCTTGTGTTCCGATAAAGTTTCGGAATAAATCAGGATATCGTCCAAATACGCCGTTACAAATTGGTCGAGGTAGGGGCGTAGAATATCATTAATCCAATGTTGAAAGGTGGCGGGGGCGTTGGCTAATCCGAACGGCATTACTGTATACTCGAAATGTCCATATCGAGTTCTAAATGCTGTTTTCCATTCGTCTCCCTCCGCTACCCTGATCTGATTGTATCCCCAACGTAGATCCAACTTGGTATAGTACTGTGCCTTCGAAAGTTTAGCCAAAGTTTCCTTTAACAGTGGTAACGGATACCGATTTTTGACCGTGATCGCATTGAGACCTCGGTAATCCACACATAGCCGGAGAGTCCCATCACTTTTCTTTACGAATAGTATAGGTGCTCCTGCCGGTGATTCACTAGCTCTGATAAATCCCTTTGGTAGATTTTCATCGAGGTATTCCCGTAGCGCTTTTAATTCAATCTGGGACAGGCCGTATATTGGTCCATATGGAGGTCGTTTACCTTCCTCCAATACGATCTCAATATCATGGGACGGTCGATGTGGCGGCAGGACAGAAGCATCATATTCTTGGAACATATGGAGACGATGGTGGAACTCCTTTGGTACTAGTTGCTTGACGTTGACGGTGGATTTCTCAACTGCTGAAACGACAATAGTATGATGTTCTGGTAGAGGGATCGATATTCCATGGACAGTGACTGCAGTTCCATTGAGTGAACAGTGTTTAACACAGTCCCGAGAATCAAAAACAAGTAGATTATCCTTTGGCCGAATGGTGACATCGTGCCGTCGCATCCACGGTATTCCCATCACGATCGGATAATGTCCCAACTTTGTAACGAAACATGAAGCAATTTCTCGGTGGCCATGAATATCTAGTGAAACATCGACAATGTGGGTGATTTCTCCTGACTGGATAGGTCTTCCATCCATAACATCTACCTGGCGAGATTTCCTAAGGGGGGTCATTGCAAGATTGTTGTGACGTACGAAAGATTCATCGATAAAAGCATATCCTGATGCTCCAGTATCAATGAGAGCGTAGGTGGGAATAAAAGAGTCGGGATTCTGAGAGACCGAACAGGTAACAACAAAAGAGTCTTCGGACATCTTATCCTCAGACACAGCAGCAGCAGGGAGAACAGAAACAGGTGGCGGGGCTGGCCCCTTTGGTTTGCCATTTTTTACCAAAGGGGCTGACCTTTTAACGCCGGCTTTGGGGACCCATTTTCAAGTGGCCTCTCTCGCCAATTGCTAATGGAACGGGGATCTTGGGCGCGAGGACCCAGGTAACGAGGCTTGGAGACATGGCGAGATTGGGTTTTAACTCTAGCGGCAGAGACGGAGACACGGGAGCGAAGATCAGCAATGGTGGTATTGGCTTGAACTTCCCAAGCTTTTGCAACAGAAGTGATGTGAAGAATCTCATCTTCAGCATCAGCGAGGTTCTCGTCGGCAATGGCGAGACTTTCCTGGTGTAGTGCCAGACGGAATCGAAGCTCTTCTTCTTCAGCCTTCGATTCCTCCAGCTCAATCTTCAAAGCAACGATAACCTCGTCGCGACCTCGGATGATCTCGGTAGAATCTTCCTGGTTATCGCACAAGGTTTGCCAAAAATCGGCAGCCTTTTCGTTGGCTGCTTCTAGTTCTGTGGTGAGGCCGGCAATGACCTCTTCCTGAGCCGTATCAATAACGGGTTCTAGTGGCGCGGGGGTTTCAAGAGGCTTGGTGAGAGCCTCCAAACACTCAGCAATAAGACCATGAGCCTCCGTAAGTTCTTCGCCGAAGTCTATATCGGCTGGGAGGGGACCATAGGTAATCAGAAATTCTAAAAGACGCTGCAACAGCGTATCCTGAGTGGTGTCGGACATAGTCACGACCAGAGCTAAGCAAGGTGGTGTTGTATCGGTTGGCTGTAGAGGATGCAACCTAAGTGTAACGGGGACTATGGGCGTAGGAACTATGAAGCCAAGGAATACAACCGAGGCGAAGACGTAGAGGTAAGGAGGTTCGTGGACTATGGACTATGGGGCCGAGGTATGCTACCAAGTCGGGAACGTGGACTATGGACTATGGGGCCGAAGGGTACACCTAAGGCAAGGACGGGGACTGTGGACTATGGACTATGGATGGTTGTACCTGGTCTAGTATACCGGGTAAACCCTATGACGTAGCGCGAACCAAATAGTATTCGTGACTGTAAAGAACAGAGGTTGCATAAAGAAAAAAGAGAAAGAAAGAGAAACAAAGAATCACGAGACAACGCCCCCCTTATATATCCATACCCTATCCCAATGCTGACTCATACCTTCACATAACAGAAACAGAAAGAACATAATAGAAACCCGCTTCGCTAAACCCAACCACACTGCATAACCCTTCCTCTTCGTACCGCAACACCTCGCATAACCAAACCACATGGCTGCCGTTACATTCTGACAGACTATGGTTCCAGTAAACCTGCCCCACATATCACCCGCGGTGTCTGTGGAGGGGAAGGACTTAGCCCCGTAGGGTACCTCTATAGTCTCAGGCGTTGGTCCTTCACGGCCTTGGGGTTCCTCCGATGAAAGTCGCGGACTAGATCAAGTACCTCCTCATTCATAGCATCCATGACTTGGTACGTACACTCGCTCATCGAATAGCCCCGCCATTTCACCAGGTATTCCACTAATCCCCTTCTGCTTTTCCGGCTTCCCACAATACTTTCCACTTCATACAGAACTTCTCCTTCCTTATCGACGTCTTCGGGAGTTGGGGGACGTTGTTCACGGCCTGGGATACTGCTCTGTCGGTAACGTTCCAAGAGTTCAATGTGGAACACGTTATGGATTTTGACTTGTGGTGGCAGTTCCAATTTGCAGGCTCGTTTTCCGGCTAGTCGGACAATCTTGAACGGACCGAGTTTCTGATGATCGAGTTTCTTGGTGGAACGACGTTTCTTGATATTGGTCGCATTAAGCATAACCATGTCTCCCACTTTGAAGTTAGGCGGTTCGTCCCTTTTCCGATCATAATATTTCCCCATCTTCTCCCTGGTGTCTGTTAAGCGAGCGAGAGCAGAATCGTGAACTCCTCGAATGAAGTGAGCATACAGTTCACTGGTTGGGTTGACCACTTCGGCTTCCGTCGGCCAGTTGGTTCTTGGGTTGTAACCGTAATTAGTATAGAACGGAGATTGACCCGTGGCGGTGGTAACCGAATTGTTGTAAGCATACTCCGCCAACGGAAGTAGCTCTGCCCAATCATCTTGCTCGTAGTTGCAGAACGCTCGTAGGTAGTGCTCGAGCGTTTGGTTGACCCGCTCTGTTTGCCCATCGGTCTGAGGGTGGAAAGCCGTACTCATTCTTATCCTCACATCCAATAATTCCATAAGGGATGCCCAAAAGCTTGAAGTAAACTTGGCATCCCTGTCGGAAACTATATCAAGGGGCAGGCCATGGAGTCGCCAGATTTGACCGAGGAATATCTTCGCTAGATCCTGCGCGGTCGTTTCTGCTACTAGGGGGATAAAATGCGACATCTTCGAGAACCTATCGACTACTACCCAAATTTGGTTATATCCCTTTGATTCCGGTAACTGCACAATGAAGTCCATTGATATCGATTGCCAGACAGAATGTGGCGTGGACAGTGGTAGAAGCGCACCGTATTTCTTGTGGCGGCTGGGTTTGTTGCGCTGGCACTCGTCACATGACCGGACATAATCATCAATCCACTCGTTCATTTTTGGCCAATAGAAGTTACGCGTGATGAGTTCCAAAGTTTTGTCTTGTCCAAAGTGTCCTGCCACCTTCGAATCGTGTTCTGCCTGTGCGATTCGGATCTTGATGCGGTCATCTGCCGGAATGTAGAGTCGGTTCTTATAAAAGAGTAACCCGTCTTTCTCAGCAATATCCTTTAGTTCCCCCAGCTTCTCTCCCTGCTCAACTCTCTTTTTCAATCCTACCCATATCGGGTCTCCCGATGCCGCCTGCCTGACATGATCCAGAAAATTCTTAGACCAGTCAATCACCCCCTTGGAGGCAAGCGACACCGCTGATACCACAAACTCTTCCTCCGCCAACTGTCCAGGCTTAAAGAACCAGTCTATCGGCTGTTTCCCAAGCGTGCCTCCCCCTTCAGGACGGTACTCCGGCCGTCGCGATAGTGCATCTGCCTTCCCATTTTTGGTTCCCGGGCGGTAAATAATCTTAAAGTCAAATTCCGCCAAAGACTCAGCCCACCTTGCCTGTCGTCGATTAAGGACCTTGGTTGTAGAGAAGTACTCTAAGTTCTTGTGATCCGTATAGATCTCAAGGGGGTGAGTAGCGAGTGTTCCGCAGGGTACGAAGAGGGTAAATAGGGGACGGTATGGGAACTCGCAATAGGGGTACTACGGGACTCTAGCGTCGATAAGGTTCGACGGGGCACGAAGGAAGCGAGGCGGTGGTCTTCTTTAAAGAAAGAAGAGGACGATAATATTGTATAGCAATAGACAGCGGAGATACAGAAGACGTTGCGTAAAGAAAGAAAGAAGAAGGAAAAGAACGAGAAATACAAACAACCCCCCTTAATATACTCAAGGAAATCCCAGCGATGACAAATCCAACATAACTCATACATTAACAATCAACAGAACCCGATAGAACCCAATAGAACCTTTCTGACTAATCCAACTCTTCGTAACCCCGTACCTCCACTAGTCGATCCATGAAAGTAGCCCCTCCCTTCAAGCGCGAGCTCCTGCGAGCCTTAACCTTAATCTTGCCTTCCAACGGTCCAGGTTTGTCGGGGTAATGTGTATGGAAGATATCGACGGCGGCGGTATTATCGTGGTATGCGGCGGGTTCCCAGGTAGGGTCGGTATAGCCTGTCCATTTGACAAAGTATTGCAGGCCACCATTCCGTGTTTCTCGCGAGTCCAAGATTTCCTCAACTGCATACTCCTCCTCTTGCTCGACGATAACCGGTGGGGGTGGTGGTTGAATTTGCCCCGGTACAGGATCGTTTGCAGCGGGGTCTAGCAATGATACGTGAAAGACAGGGTGCATCTTCATACTCCTAGGCAGGTCGACTCGATACGCATAGGGCGATATAATTTCTTTAACGGGAAACGGTCCCAGCTTCTTCCAGTCCAGCTTCCGGGAATTACGCGTGGTTCGGATGTTTTTTGCTGAAACAAACACCATATCGCCGATATCGTACCGTGGAGCCGGCGTTCGTTTGGTGTTGACGGCCTGCTCTTGCTGATCTTGTGCTGTGCGGATGTTGGAACGTAGGTGCTCATGGAGTTCTTTCATCTTCAAGGCGAAGTCTTTAGCATTGAGACTCGGTGGTGTCCTATCAAGCGATTTAATCGTCACTGTAAACCGGGGGTGGAATCCATAGTTCGCAAAGAATGGTGTAGCTTTAGTGGATGCGGAGACCTGATTGTTGGCGGAGAATTCTGCCATAGGAAGCCATTTTACCCAATCGTCCTGTTGATAAGAGACATACCCACGTAGGTATTGCTCCATCACAGCATTCAGCCTTTCGGTTTGGCCGTCGGTCTCCGGGTGGAAGGCGGTGGACATCCTTGCCTCGATGTTGAGGTGTTTACAAAGGGCCTTCCAAAACTTAGCTGTAAATTGCGTACCGCGGTCGGAGGTGACGTGTGTGGGTAGCCCGTGGAGCTTCCATATGTTTCGCAGGTATAGTCGGGCGACGTCTTCGGAGTTGACAGTAGTATTGCAGGGCAGGAGATGTCGCATCTTTGTTAGCCGGTCAACTACTACCATAATTGCATCGTACCCTTCACTTTCCGGTAGGCCAGTAACGAAGTCCATCGATACCTCCTGCCATGGTTGTTCGGAAATCGGTAAAGGTCGAAGTACGCCGAGTTTTCCATGGGTGTTGGGTTTGCTTCGTTGACAGGTGTGGCAGTTCCGAACGTAGCGGGCAATATAATTTCGCATGAGGGGCCAGTAGTAGTCCCGACTGACGAGTTCGAATGTTTTTTCGCGTCCCGGGTGTCCAGCAGAGGCAGCGTCATGGTAAAGTTGGAGGATTCGAAGCTTAAGGGGGTCGTAATCAGGGACATATATGCTGCCTCGGTAAAGCAATCGGCCTTCAACCTCGGTGCATTCGGCTAGTGATATGTCCTTTGACTGTCGATCGCCTTTATCCCGCATATCCAGTATCTTTTGGGGAAACGGGTCAGCACTATATCCTTCATCGAATAATTCCTGCAGTGAGGCGTTCTTTTCAGCGGGCTCGTTTGAGAAAGAACCCGCCAACAAACTTAGCTTTGCATCGAGATTCTCCTTCTTCAACACGACTTGACTCTGATGTAATTGTCTTTCATCCCCCTCTCCAGGGAGATCTCCTGATCTTCTTGTCAACGCGTCCGGTTTCCCTCCTTGTTTCCCTGGTCGGTATTTGATAACAAAATTAAACCGTGACAGGTATTCTGCCCACCGTGCTTGTCTCCGGTTGAGTTGTTTGGTACTCATAAAGTATTCGAGATTCTTATGATCGGATATGACGGCGATTGGGTGTGCAGCCCCTTCAAGTTCCGGTCGCCACTCCTCAAAAGACCGAATGATTGCCAGTAATTCCTTGTCGTAAATCTCGTAGTTGCATTCGGCGGGGGAGTGCTTTTTCGAGAAGTATGCAACAGGTCGGAGGATACCATTGTCATCATATTGGGAGAGTACACCGGCGGAGACATAGTCAGATGCATCGGTTTCCACAGTAATTTCCTTCTCCGGGTCGAAATGAGTAAGAATAGGCGCCGTGGTAAAGGCTTCTTTCAGGGCGTTGAAGGCGGTTTGGGCTTCGGATGTCCATCCAAATGATATGTCCTTACGTGTCAGTCTGGTAAGAGGAGAAGCCAGTTCCGAGAACCCGCGTATGAATCGGCGGTAAAAGTTAGCAAAACCTAGGAATGCTTGTACATCTTTAACTGTTTTGGGGACGGTCCAATTCTTCACCGTCTCCACTTTCCTTGGGTCCATTTTAATACCATTGGGTTCGATAATCAGGCCGAGATAGATGGTGCTTTGTGTATGAAATTCGCATTTCTCCGGTTTCAGCAGTACTCCATTTCTTTGTAGGGCTTCCAGGACCTTTTCGACGTGTATTTGATGTTCCTCGAAGGTATCGCTGTAAATAAGGATATCGTCAAGGTAGGCTGTGCAGAACATATCAAGGTAATCACGGACGCAATCATTAATAAAATGTTGAAAGGTGGCTGGTGCATTGGTAAGGCCGAAGGGCATTACGGTGTATTCGAAATGTCCGTAACGCGTTCGGAAGGCTGTTTTCCATTCTTCACCCTCAGCCATTCGGATCTGGTTGTACCCTTGGCGAAGGTCAAGTTTGGTGTACCACTTGGCTTTGGAAAGGCGGTCGAGAGTTTCCCGGATGAGTGGCAGCGGATAGCGATTTTTGACAGTAAGTTCGTTGAGGCCACGATAGTCGACACAGAGGCGGAGTGTTCCATCGGCCTTTTTAACAAATAGGACAGGGGCACCGGCAGGCGAAGAGCTGGCCTGAATGAACCCCTTTTGAAGGTTGTCCTGTATGTACTGTTTCAGCACAATGAGTTCCTCGCGGGACATACCATAAAATGGCCTAAAAGGGGGCTCTTTCCCTTCCTTGAGCGGTATCTTATGATCATAGGGACGGCGAGGTGGCATCTCGTTAGCGAATTCTTCATCCATCATTTTATGAAATCTCTTATACCGGGTTGGGACCCGGTTCCTCCAGTCTTGCTTAGGGGCCTCGCCCGTTGCTTGATCTATTTCCTCAATAGTTTTACTAAAGATTTGGAGTTTGTCTCTCCGGGCAAAGCGGCAAAGGGCAGCTGAACTGACAAGGTGAAAACGAGACGGTGGTGCAACCCCTCTAATAGGAACGGGTATCGGGGAAGAGTTGCACTTGCGTTTACAGTACTCGGAGTCGAATAGTATGCTATTGTCCTTGAACCGTAATGTTGCATCGTGCAATTGAAGCCAGGGGATTCCGAGGACGAGTGGGTACGAGCCGAGTTTGGTAACAAAGAAGGGGGTAGTTTCATGGTGGGAGTCAATGGATAGCGACAGATAGCAGAGGTGGGTAATTTGTCCAGAAGATATGGGCCGACCGTCGATGACTTCAAGAGTGCGGGGTGATTTAAGGGGGAGAAGTGGGAAGTTGTTATGGCGCGCGAATGTTTCATCAATGAATGCGAATCCGGAGCAACCGGTATCGATCAGTGCGTGAGTTTGAATGGGTGTTTTATTGTTTATAATTTTACAAGAAGCAACAAGATGATCCCCATCCAATTTATCCTCCACAGACGATACCGAGAAGCCAGAGATAGAAAACGCAGACAAAGGAGAAACATTGAAAGGTCCCGGGCAGGGGCCATTAATCAAGCCCGGGACTACTGAAAACCTGACTCAGAGGAGGCGGGACTAGCGACCGGTGGAGCAGCGGGGTCGACGGCCGTATGGCTGGGTGCGAGGAGGGCGCCTCTCATAACCGGTTGGTTACCGCGCGGGCGATTGGCAGAGGGGCAGTTGGCAAAAACATGACCGGGATTGGCACAGTACATACAGAGATTGTTGTCCCTTCGCCATTGCTTTTCAGCGGCAGAGGTTTTGCGTTGTCCATTGACAAAAGTGTATCGTTGTTCAATGGCAGGACGTTGAGTGGGGCGGCTTTGGAGAGCGGAAAGATCCATTGGGGCGAGGCCTCCGGCGGTATGAGATGGGTGTGCGACAGCAGCGGGGGCGGTGAATTGTCCCATTGTATTCCGAATGGCCCTTTGTTCAGCTTTGCGGCCCCGTACCTGGTTATCGATTGTCATCAACATGGTGGCATAGGCTTCGACAGTGTTAGGCCTGTCTGTCCGGTAGGTCATAGCGTCCTTCAAGTCTTCTGACAGTCCTTCGGCCAGGGCATCGATCTTGGCTCCCTCGTTATAGTCCAGGTATGCCACGATGCGGAGGAACTGCGAATAATATGTAGCGAAATCCCCTTTGCCTTGCTTCAGGGCAACGAGTTGGCGACGGGCGGTACCCCGGGGGTCCGGGTCTCCAAACGAGGCTTCCAGGTGGGCAACAAAGGCAGTGACGGAGGAGAAGGGGGCGGCAGGGTTAGCGTTGACGAGTGGAACGACCTGGTCAAGGGCCCTTCCTTCCAAGCGACTGACTGCATAGATAACCTTTGCTGCCTCGTTTCGGAACCGATGGTGGTTGACTTCAAGTTTCATTCGAAGTTGGGTGGTGAATCCGGGGAGCTTGGTGCGGGTGCCATCGAATTTTTCAGGGTCTGGAAACTTTTCGGACCTGAAGGCGGGGGCAGGAGCAGGTGGGGGAGCAGCGGGAGCGGGGACAGCGACGGTAGGGGCGGGGGCAGCGCGGGCGA